CATCATTCATCATTCATCATTCATCACATATTGCTTGACCTGGTGTTCAAAGATCATCCAAGGCGGAGCGTGGTTTTGCCTGTGAGCACCTTTTGTACAGTTTGCTTTTGCACTTGCCTGACGCGCAAGAGTGCAGTCTGGTACGCAGGGTTTGGGATGACTCTTTTTATAACCTTGTCCATTGCACGTTCCAGGCACAAGGATGCCATGGATTTGCCGGAATCAAAGCCGCTTCTTTGTCAGTTCTGAGAGTTGTTTCAAGGGGCTTTGATTTCTAGCGAAATACCGTCATCACCCCATTTCCGCAATCTTGGGAAGCATACGCTTGCCCGAGGAAATCCGAAATCTTTGCCTTGTTGCATGGGACAAGCTCGTAAGTTCTGAGCCCTTGGCGAACCTTTGGGGTTCAGGACCATTGTTCCATGACATCCTTTTCCACAACCAAATCCCTCAGGGGATTCAGGTGGGCCAACGTGTGGCGGAAAAGAACGGCCGATAGCTTCAGACGCTGATTTGGCAGCAATTGCTAGAGAGTCAGAGGTGCAAGAGTGCCGTTGCGTCATTCAGATGAATGGCTAATTGAAAAGCACCACTACTAGGTTGGAGGCCATCGCTATTACTGTAGGTTTCATGTGAGTATGTCTTTTGGTACTGAAGAAGAGCTCTTTTTTGTGCAAGAAAGCTTGGACGTTGCACCTTTCGGTAGGTTCAGCTCCTTGGAATGGCGACGGCTTCGTTCACAGCTTCCACAGGCCAAACATAGAGTCTATGTCGATTTGATACGATGTTTTGTAGGTCTAAGTCTAGGTTGCTAGAGAAGTATCAGGATACAGAGGAACAAGGGCACTTCCTGACCCCAACTGCTACAGCTGACATGTGACAAGAAGTTTGGGGACCACCAGGTGCTTGCCGCTGCTGTCTCAATCCGCTGTTGCTTCCTTTTTCTTTTTCTACTCCCACCAAGCCTGGCCACTATAGTCTATACTGACTAATTAACTATAGTGGCCAATATACTGTAGATTTTGACTTTAGGTAGTTTAGGAACGAGCTGGCTAGGAGGCCATCGCCATTAAGTTGGAGGCCATTGCTAGGTTTGAGGCCATCAACCGACTTGGAACTCTCTGTGCACAGAGAGACTGTGCACAGAGTGCGAGCGCAGCGACGATTTCAGCTCACGAGGCCGCACAGCACTTCCGACCAGGGGAGCTGGCGCTGACGCTGCAGGAGGGCTGAAGAAAGCTAATAGAAAACTATGTTCCTTGTAGCGATGCCCTTTGTTCCTAGTAGCTTCTTGCTCCTAGTAGTAAGGCCAGGAGCGCCTAGTAGCGTCCTTGCTCCTACTCTACTAGCAAACTCTGAAGACCGTTCTTCCTTTTCTTCTCCACCTGTCAGGTGAGGGTTGTTAGATTTTACGTCAGCCCCATCTCCTCCTCCGCCTCGTCCTCTACCTCCTCCTCCTCCGCCTCCTCCGCCGGACCTCAACCGCGACCATCCACGCCCAGTGTTCCCTGCCGGACCTCAGCCGCGAGCTCCAGGCCCAAGTGTTCGCTGCCGGACCTCAACCACAGCACGCAACCACAACCACAATCACAAACACACAACCACAAACACAACCACAAACACACAACCACAAGCACAACCACAACCACAAACACACAACCACAAGCACACAACCACAAACACACAACCACAAGCGCAACAACAAACACACAACCACAAACACACAACCACAACACACAACCACAAACACAACCACAAGCACACAACCACAAGCACACAACCACAAACACACAACCACAACCACAACAACAACTACTACCACTACCACTACCACCACCACCACCACGACGACGACGACGACGACTACTACTACTACTACTAGGACTACCACTACCACTACCACTACTACGACTACGACTACGACTACGACGACGACTACTACTACTACTACCACTACTACTACTACTACTACTACCACTCCCAGTTTTGGGCCGCCCAGTACGACTACTACTGAAGTGATCTGAGTTGTATTATTAGTTGGGCACAGGTCTCCTGATGAAAGCATTCGCTTCGGACAAAACAGTAAGACTTGGCGCTGAAGGATTTGTTCAGAGGCAAACGGAAGGGTAGTGCACAGAAAGGGCTTTGCAAAAACCTATTCTACTAACATCGTGGAAGGCGCGGGACATTCGTAGAACCCAAGGCTATTCGTGGACAGTTCGAGGAATGGTGGGCCAGTAGCAGAACTGACTGCAACGAAATCCCAGAAACCTTCGCAGAGCTTCGTGGAAGGTATTTTTGATGCACTAACTTCGTACAAGCGATTTTTGCTGACCCCCTTTCTCCACACACCCTCCATGTAGCCTTCACTTGTGCTCTGGGCTGAAATACACAACGAGGGCGATGTCAACCGGGCTGTTTTGAAATGTCATGGTGGGGATCATTCGAAGTAAAGTAATTTGTTCTTTGCTCTTAATCATAGCAATGGCTTCCACCCTAAGAGCGATGGCCCCCAACCTACTAAGTAGCGATGGCCTCCAAATACGGAGATGTCCAAGACAGAGATTGAAGATGCTTCTATATGCCTCAAAGCCCTCAAGAAGAAGCATCAAATATCCAAAGACAGGATAATATCGTATTGAAAGCAGTAGGCTTATATACATAAATAAGGTTGATCTTGGCAACGATCTCCACTTTCCAGGGGCTGGCTGCCTTGCGGAGTGTGGGGGGCCTTGGAAACATGGGACGAATTTTTGATCCAAAAAGGTCCTGCACAAATTTGGATCAGCCTTTGTCATCTTGAGAGTCGAGGTCGAGGCACCTTACATTGAGCCAGTCTTGAAGGCGGTTCAAGAACTGGTCTGAAACTTAAACCTTGGGTCGCGCAGACTGAACCTGTTTGGGAGAAAGATGGATTCGATAGTACTAACTGGATGGCATTGAGCAACTAGAAATCATTCAATGGCGCGCCGTTCGACCGAAGTGCATCGCCATATGCATTCAAAGGATGACCGTAATCCCGCATGAGCCGCACTCAAACAGATCACCAACCGATCACATCCAGGCCGCCAGGCCCGAACCCTGGCCCTGAGTATGTTGAGGCCAGCTACATGAGCGCTGAGCACTTTTCCGACTCCTTGACAGCGCTAGCCGTCTTGCAAGCACCACAGGCCAGCGCTTGTCCGGTCGTTCTGGACAATCCAGAACAAAAAACTCGTGTGGTTCCATGTAACTCGAGGCCAAGGCAGCTGTGGATGCCTTGCTCCTTGCAGGCCAGAAAATGGGGTTGGTTTGACACAGCTCACCGCTACCTGACCTAACCTTGGACCTGGTTCCCGCGCTGGAACTGAGTCCAACAGCACATGTGTTGCTGGCACTGCCGTAATTGAGGAATTGATGTTCATCCACCGTTACAGGCTAGCGGTCAGGCCAGTTGATTCTCTTGGAAGCAACAGAGTGGATTCACTTAAGCAATCTTCAGCAGCATCCCAAAGTAGAAAATGGGTCCAAAGGTTGACATCTCGGAGACATTTTTTTCAAAATACACACTGCCACGGACTGTGCAACAGATGCGACCAGCGCTTCACAGGTGCGCAGCAGCTTCGCTCCTTGCGACCCGCGCAACTGATCAGCTGTTCACAGGCGACAAAGGGTGTTCAACTCGTGTCCGAAGGGTTCACAGGCGACAAAAATCCAAAGACTCGGAACAAACGCAGACTCGAATTTCTAGAATCTGGATGTGGTACTTGAGGTACTTGAAATTCCAAACCAACTCCGAGATTTCCTCGGCCTTCGATCCACTTCACCTCACTGTGTCACATGATGTGTTGCAGATGTGCAGGCGCTGGTGGAGTTAAAACATCCAGCGGAGAGGGTCATCCAGGTTGGCTGCGCTAAGTTGACCAAACGGGATGTGCTCCTTGCTTTCGTAGTGTATTGATGAAAGCATAGCACACTACTAACATCATTCAAAAGCGAATCGAACATCAAGAGAAGAATCTTAGAGCAAGCAGCAAGCAGCAAGCCTGCCTTGTGTTTGGCACTCGGACTTGCAGACGTGCAAAGGCCTTGATTCGAGAAATGCCGAGTGCCTGGGACTCATTCGCATCATTGGGCACAGAGGCCCTCCCTATGTCCCGAAACAAAGTATTGAAGAATGGATGTGATATACTGGACCAGTTATCAGCATGGGCCTTGATACAGGAAAGTTGTAAGTGCAAGACAGCACATGATGTCATGATGTCTTTCTAAGCAGGAAACTAAAGTGATGTAAAGGGAATCAGCGGGAATTCAGCAACCATTTGACGCCCTTATGTGTTTCTCTGAAATTAAGAACCGTCTTTGGCGAATTGTCTCTAGATCACAAGAGTTTACACAAGCAAAAAGCGTGAAACTCTTCACGCTTCTCACGCCTTTGCGGTCCGCAGCTTAGGCCTGGCATCTCACTTCAGAGGAGAAACGGGCACAACAGTTTTCGACCTTGGCATTTCTGAAGTCGTTTCAGCTGGTGGGATCTTTCAGGAGCTGCTCTGCTTCTTGCGCCTGATGAAGGCTGTCGCATGCCCAGCGCAGCTTTTCGATTCTTTTGGGATAATTTGTGAGTGGATTAGTTGAATTCGGAGTTCCGACGGCTGTTCAGCTTGTATTCAACGCATGCCTGTGGACAAAAAGCTGTTTGAGTCTGGCCACGACGTGTTCTTTCGTTTGGCACTAAGGTCGCGCGTAGCTTTGCCGAGCGTAGGACTTAGCCTTGCTTGATTTCGGAACAAGTTGACTTAGATGGACTTAGGAACAAGAAGCTACTAGGGCTCCTGGCATCGCTACTAGGAGCAAGGACGCTACTAGGAGCTCCTGGCCTTACTACTAGGAACAAGAAGCTATTAGAAACAAGAAGCTATTAGAATCTATTAGCTTGCAGTGCTTGGAATATCTAGGCCCAGTACACTGGAGATGCTGCGGGCAGCCCTGTCAGATGCACGCGGTGTGCTGCGCAGCCGCCTGCGTGGACAGGAGCAGCTTCCAACGGTTCGGTCCTCGGCAACTTGATCGAAATAAAGGAAGAAACTAGTAACAAGGGCATTACTAGTAGTAACAAGAAGCTACTAGTAGCTATGCACTTGTTACTAGTAGCTTCTTGCTACTAAATCCTAAACTCAAAATGTCTTACTTCCACCGCACCTTGGTCAAATCGATGAATCGCATAAAGGTAGTGAGGTCCACGGTGTTAGTCCCCATGTGTGATGGTCATCCCTTGTGACACGATCGATGTCCATTTCGTTGAAAGGCCGAGCTGTTGGAAGTGTTCATGCTGTGCTCTGAGTTGCAGCCACGGGCTGAGCAAATTTTGGACTTGATCCTCGGAGCAGTGATCCTCACGCAAGGAAAGTCGTCATTGGTATATATTGGATGTTTCGTGAGTAATGATCAATCCTTCGTCGCCACGGGTGCAACCTGACATGTAGCAGATTCCACACTGTCAGGGAAGTTCATGGAAGCTCTGTGATGGATTTCTGGCGGATGAAGGAACTTGGGGGGGTCCATCATCAAGTCATGCTGAGGCTACTCTTGCACAATAAGGGTGAGGTGCCTGCAACATGGACAATAAAACAAGTTGTGGGCAGTCTTTCCAAGGTCATTGTTTGACAAAGGTGATCCTTTCTGTTGTTTTAAAACAGGAACATATCCTCGATGCATAAGGCAAGGTGACTTTGGTTTTTTGACCTTTGTAAGGGCCAAAAGAATGGGGTACCAGCTTGACGCAGGATCAGTAGCTGTAGGTTGTGGGGGATATTGGAGGATCATTTTTGAGGTGAGATGGTTTTAGTGATGTTCAAGAACGACAGTGTTCGGCTTTCTTTGGCTTTGAGCTGGTCAGGCTTCTGATCCCGGTCCAAGTGACATTTTGGGCCTGTTGGAGAGGCCAAGCGCAGACGGGCGGAACAAGCTGAATCATGCTGCGTACGTCTTTTGCAGAAATGAGGGTCCAAGGAGTCCAAGGATGTCCAAAAGCACCGCTCTAGACTCTAGGATGAATGTTCAAAGTTGTTCTTTGGAACTCAGAAGACATGGGGCTTGTCCTGCAGCCAGGCGAGCAACCTTCGTTGACACAAGCGGACCAGGCAACGTTCGACGAACTCCTCACCACTTGTCCGATGTGACGAACGTCCTGACGACTTTTTCCAGGCTTCCAGCGGCTGCTTCTCACCGAATTGACGTCTGCAGCTCCGTCCTTAGTAGAATGAGGTATTTTTTCCAAAGAGACAACAAGAAGCTACTAACAAAGGGCATCGCTACTAGTAGCTAGTAGCAAGAAGCTACTAGTAGCTCCTGGCATTACTACTAGGAGCAAGGACGCTATCTTTTCCATCCCCCTCGTGAGAACCGATGCATCGGATGAATGTCGTTCCGGGGGGACGTGCTCAGTCGCAGGCAAGAAAGCTGCCGGAGGCTTTGGGAGAGCTGCCAGGAGGTGAATGCACCAGGCGGCAAGCAGAAGGGCCTACGAGTTCTTTTTCTAGCTTCGCCAAAGCTTTGTCGAAAGCCATGCTTGCTCTTCAGGCTTTGTGTCGTTCTGGTCGAGGTGGCCAAGGAGCAGAGGAGACACTGCCTTCGGTGCTTGAATCTTCGTGAGACCTGTCACGACAATCTGGGCATTCGGCTCGTGTTTTGTGGCACTGTGGAATTCAGTGGTGGCATTGCTGCCGCGAGGACGTCTCATTTAACCAAGATGGTCCCGGCGCCTTGCAGAAATAAGAGATGGGAGTCGAACGAAGAAAAGTTAAAGAAAGGGTCTTTCAAAGCAATAGAGATGTGCAAGGGCTCCTTTGACACGGGCGGATGTATGTAAGGCTTCAAGACGCTTCAAGAGCGATTTTCTACGAGTCAAGATTGTTCGAAGGCCTTGGTGGAGCGCTTGCTTGAGCACTTGGAACTGCTGCACACAGAGGCTTGCAGAGGAAGCATTTTGTTTATCCGTCCAGTACACCGTTGAGCAAAAGCAAGGGAGCGCTCGACGTTGCGAACAATGTCTAGATTCTAGATGTGTTGGAGTGCACGAGATGCGAAGGACCCCTGGACCACTGGATATAATAGACATATAGTTGCCATATTGTACTTTGGATTTCCAGTGTAACAATCATCTCCCAAGTTCAATCGGTGCATCCAGCAACACTTGAAAGTAGATAGTCTGTCGAATGCTTATGAATGCGTCAATAGTCCCAACCGTGTGTTCACCATCTTTACCTGGGTCTACATTCATCACGAAGCAACCCCCCTTGGTGCAGACAGTCATGTGTCCGTTTTGTTTGCAGAGGAGATCCTACAGGCTTTGCAGTCTTTGTCAGACCTGGGCTACAGTCCCTGAGCTGCGTTAGCCCGTGACGACACTCCAACAAGCAGCAACCAATCAGGTACGGTACGAGTCGCTAAACATTCTGGATTCCCAAGCATCCCTGCGGAGGGACACATTGGAGGATGCCTTAGTTGGGTGGGCATGATTTTATGACATACACCCATGGTCTCAAGCTTGCGTCCATTACACAAAACATCCAAAAGGTCGATGATGATGGAGGACCACCAAATTTGTGTATCTTTGACACCCGAGTATTTGGATAGACCAACGTCCGGGTGTTGTTCTGGTGGTGAACTTCTGTTTTTGGATGTCTCTCGTCATCCGTGTTTCCCACATGCCATCCGTCTTTGAGGAGATAACTATTTGTCGGATCGCTTTGCGGAGGCTCTGAAAGCTCGACTCTCTGTCGAGGCCCGGCACGGATCTGTCGGCGACACAACCGTGGGGCCCGGCCCAACAAGTGTAGAACTACGATGTTGACCTGGTGGGGCACACACCAAGTGCCTGACAGGCTCAGCCAGTGCTCAAGGCACTGAGAGTCTTGGCAAGACAAAGCGAGGTGTCCTTCTTGGAGTTGTTCTCCTCCTTGCTGCAGGAGAGTATGAGCGTGCGGAAGTGAGCTTCTCCAGAGACTCTAGATTTCTTGACTTTCTCATGCTCCGTCATTTTCTCATCCGGAAAATCAGGGTGCAACTCATGAGTAGCAGTTCCAGACCGATTGACCCACGTAACAGTGCTGCACACCCAGTAAAAGCTTGCAAGCGAGGACCTGTTGGCTCGAGACGAGGCCAGGTCGACGGAAGATCGGCTAGGCATGGCATGGCTGGGCCCTATGGAGTGAATCTGAAGTCGACAGGTCGACAAAATCGTTTGGATGTATTTTGAAATATGTTGAATTTCTTGGTAGTGTTTAATTCGTACATGTTTTACCCAGTAAATGAGCTCAAGTGGGGGATTTGATGCGAGGAGTTGCCATGTTTGGGCGACAAACACGTCGCGAGGACTTTCCTGAGCTTAGCGGATTGGACTTGGAGAGGAGCAAGTGGCGTCCGATCGGTTGGACATGGTGGAGGTGGACCCCGCCTCCCTACTTAGTTAAATAGGGGAACTAGTTCGCTACTAGGCTAAGTTAGCTTCTAGCTAGGACGGATAACTCATGCTTCTTCACTCCCGCCTGAGGTTCCTAGATGTTTAGGGAAACTTAACTGCGTTTGTTTGGTTTGTTGTTTTTTTGTGGGTCGACCGCTGGAAAAGATCTGCTCAACGGCATTGAATTGCTCACTGAAATTTGCTGTTTGACGGTGTTCCCATTCTAAGTTGCAGCTTTACATTAGCATATCATAACATATCATGTTATGCAGAAGCGCGGAGTGCAATGCCAGGAGTGCTGACCACGATGTGGCTTGGCTCCACTCGAAGTCGAAATGTCCAAATCAAATGCAAAAAGCATAGTCATATAAGCAATTGTGAGAAAATTTGCTTTGTATCGAGCACCTTTTCCGAAGTTCAACCTTTCTCAGATTCAGCCGGTCAGAGGATGTCGCTGAGGTGGAAGAGTGGCTTCACCGTGTGCGCAGTCGGATTGGAGAGACTCAAAACTTGGAGGACCTTCGATCTGTGCTGCAATTCGTGCTGCCTCTAACCTAATAATTGCGATGGCCTCCAACCAAATTGCGATGGCCTCCACCCTAGTAGCGAT